AGTAGTAGTAGTAGTAGTGATAGTAGTACAATATTCCACTTATCATTATTATTATATCTTCTTCTTCTTCTTCTTATTATTATTATTATTACTACTACTAGTAGTAGTAGTAGTAGTCGTACTACAATATGCCACTTAGCATTATTATTATATCCTATTATTATTATTACTACTAGTAGTAGTAGTACAAAGGAGCCCGCCTCCATTCCAGGGAGAGAAATATTATTATTTCCCTATTACTATAATTTTCCTATTATTATTATTATTAGTAGTAGTAGTAGTAGTAGTAGTGGTAGTAGTACAATATGCCACTTATCATTATTATATCTTCTTCTTCTTCTTATTATTATTATTATTACTAGTAGTAGTAGTAGTAGTAGTCGTACTACAATATGCCACTTAGCATTATTATTATATCCCATTTATATTATTATTATTATAGTCCATTTATTATTATTATATTGCACTTAAATAACTATTATTATTATTATTACATCCAATTTATATTATTATTATTCCACTTATCATTATTATATCCCACTTACATCACTATTATCATCACATCCCATTTATATTATTATTATAATAGTCCATTTATTATTATTATATACCACTTAAGTCCCACTCACATCTTGTATTGGCAAACGCAAAGTGTTTCTAGAATACTCTGGGCTCATTTTGCAAAATAAGAGAAGTAAAGTTTCATGCTATTTTTCGAGTGGAAGGTGGTGAATATGGGCCTCTTTCAGGAGTGCTTTAGCCGTGCATTCCTGCACGGCAGAATGGGGTTGGACTACATGGCCTTTGGGGTCCCTCCCGGCTCTGAGTTATCCGACTCGCTCACCGACTTGGAGAAGCCCACGCAGCTGACCGCCCGGTCAAAGGGTCCCGGTCCCAAGACGTGGAGCGTGTTCAGGCTGACCGAATCCCAGACTCTCACATGCGGAGGAAGCGGCTGCCGGAAAAGGAAGGAAAATATTAGATACAACAAAAGATTGCCCCAGGCACTGCCAGGCCATCAAATGCTAATCAAGGTGGTCAGCTGAAACATTCACACCTAGCTCCAGCAGACAAGAGTTCTTTGCCCCACTCCAGCCATTCCACAGATATATAAACCCATTGTCTTAATTCCAACAGACCTCACTACCTCTGAGAATGCGTGCCATAGATGCAGGCGAAACGTCAGGAGAGAATGCCTCTAGAACATGGCCATATAGCCTGGAAAAACCTACAACAACTCAGTGATCCTGGCCATGAAAGCCTTCGACAATACAAGGTTATGATACAAACTCCGTCCAATTTTGGAAACACTTTAGAAACTTTTTTCCCCCACTCCCCAATTCTGTAATGAGTATTGCAACATTCTTTTTCATTGATCACACAAGCCTATTGTTTACTTAATTTGCTTATTATTTGCATGACCTGCTGGTACTGACAAATGTTTCTGTGATTTGTTTTGAGCGTGTCCAAACAGATTAAACAAACACAAAGGAATGTGTTCCTGTTCTTTCCTGTTCCATTTTGGAGATCCAGACACATCTTCCCTGCCAGCTTTGGGCACCATCTTCATATGCCAGGTCCCCGAATTAGTTTATAATGGCAAAGAATTGGAACAAAAATCTGGGACTGGATGAACAAACCCTCATTGAGTTGAGATCGTCTTGTTTGGTATAATATATTCATTCCGGGACGGTGAGTGACCCTCACCTTGCCATCTTTCGACGTTCCGGCCACTTGCCCGGTTGCAATGGTCACCATGTCTGGATGCACAGCCAGGCTACAGATGAAAGAAAAGGAAATAAGTTCGTATACAGAACACTATGTCTCCTGAAAGACCACTCATTCATCCTTCCCTCCCTCTTTCTCTCCTTCTCTTCCCTCTCTCCTTCCTTCCCTTTTATTCTTTCCTTCTCTCCTTCCTTCTCTTCCTCCTCCCTTCCTCCCCCCTTTTCTTTCCCTTCCTTTCTCTCCTTCCTTCCTAATCTTCCTCTTTCCTTCCCTCCTTTTCTCTCCTTCCTTCCTTCCTTCTCTCCTTCCTTCCTTTTGTTCTTTCCTTCTATCCTTCCTTCCTTCTCTTCCTCCTCCCTTCCTCCCCTCTTTTCTTTCCCTTCCTTTCTCTCCATCCTTTTT